TTCGACGGTATTCTTCAGGATCTCATCTGAAACTAGTATCAGTCGGTGGCCACAGGGTTTATTTCCAAGTGTTGCATCATCCGCGCGAAATTTTATATACCATCGACGTATAGTATATTAGTCGTAGATGTGACAAATGCGATATTAATGTTTTGTGCCTTAAGTCATGTAGAATGCCCCAGTTTAAACTCAGTAAGTAAAAGTACTCAGAATTTCTCTATGGTTTAGATTGACAAAGTTCTGTTTAAACAGCATTACATTTAATGATTGCCTTGGTGACACAGCGTACGACTTTAGTCGGTGAATCACACTAGTGGCTTCGGGTAACGTACGTATTTCAGGTACCGTCGTACCTGAAATAGGATATCTCAGTTGCATAGCACCTACTCAGTGTACCAAATGGCACCAGACATCTGCTCGGAGCGCAAAAATTTTTTTATCTCTAGTACTGAGGATCACAGTCTGGCCTGTTTAAGAACCTTTCAAAAATGCGTAAAACTTAATACAAAAAAGTGCAACTAGTGTTTACATGTTATTCTTAAGAAATAGAAAATAGAGAAAGTCAAAAATTATTCGTACTCTTGTTTTCTCATATTATTTACCCAAAAGTGGGGGTTGAACAAGTAGTCATTTGTCTGCATAGTCTCCTTTCTTTACGGTACACTTGGTCCAACGGTCCACAAGCTAGCGTATACCTTCCAAGAAGATGGCTAAATTGGTACCAAGAGAAAGTTAAAAATTATTCGTACTCTTGTTTTCTCGTGTTATTTACACTAAAGTACGAGTTGAACAAGTATGTCATTTTTCTGCATAGTCTTCTTCCTTTGCGATGCATTTAGTCCAACGGTCCACAAGCTCGCGTATTTCTTCCAAGAAGAAAGTTATCGGTTAGTCGTGCAACCATTTATGCACGCTTCCTATGCGTCTTTATCCGCAGAAAATCAGCGACCTCGTAAAGCATCTTTGAGCACTACAAAGATATGATAGCCGTTACAGAGGGACCGATCTTGGCTCAGGCGTGGTGGTTCTAGCAGGTGGAAATCCAGACGGTTAATGGTTTGGCACCCATTTTGCTCAGGTTTTATAAAAGCCGAGCTCCTCGTCGATGAGTTGATCAGCAAAGCTAAGGCTAATCTGCTGAAAACATATTTCATCGATGGCTACGTTCCGCTTCACCAGTATCGTCTCTCTTAAATCTTCTGGTTGGAGGCTGACAGCCGTCCCGCTGTCTCTTCGTGCATCACGCTTGTTCCGGTCACTTTCAGACTTCTCGATCATCTCATACACACTTCTGCGTGATAAAGCATGGTCCCCGTGAAACAGCTTGTGTTGAAGTTTCTTGTGAAGTCAGGCTTAAATCCCGCTGATATTTACAGACGACTTCAAACACAGTTCAATGATAAGACGCGCAGCTGCAGTAATACATTTGAAAGGTGTAACCATTTCCAGAATGGCCATATCTCTGTTAATGACGATCACGGCCATAATAGTTTTTAGTCCATAGCAGGTTATACCTCTGTCTAAACAGTCGATGCGTAAAACATATGGTTTTGGATAATCCACGCATTATCTGTTGTCAAACTGGGCAAAAGAAGAATCTCTGAGGGTTAGAATTCAGCATTGATGGAGAAAGCAGACCACGTAGGGTTGAAGAATTCTGATAAATCTTTCTAAACCGAACCAGGAATTAGTTAAATTCAGGGTTAAGTATAGGAATGTAGCAGGAAAGTAAAATAACGTTTTCACTTTTTGATATTTTATTAAGTCCCGTTTGATAAGAACGCCTTTCGCATATTACTAATGTTAATCCTTTGAGTGCGGGAGAAATTATTTGCCATACACCAAGAATTACGAAATTGTCGGTAACTGTAGGCACGGGCATACGATGAAACTTTATGGGAGCATTGTTGTTGATGAGTTAGCAGCGCCCCCAGTACTTGAGTAGATAAGACAACAGAAAATTTATAGTTCAACCCTCAGGGAACAGACTCGCTCCTTGTACCTTTGTGTAAAGTAAATACGTACCGTCTTTCTCTGCTTTGCCTTATTCAACGAAATTAGCAATTATAGCTACAGCCTTGCTTCTGAGGCATAGGAACTTCCACCAAACGAGCTCTGTTGATCTCACATGGACCTTATAAGAAATAGACCAACCCAAATGGATTTTCTTTCAGTTCCTGAGTTTCTTTTTAACCTTGGTTCATCTTCGAACACCTTCTTTTTTCCTTAGTGCCAAAACAAATACTGGTGTATTTCGTTGCTATCCAACATTACAACTATGTATGACACAAATTCTTCGACATGCTTCTGCAGCACCTTATTCCGAAATTGTACTCTCAAAAGGTGATGTTTGATATGTTTGTGTCGCGTATTGTTTAGACCTGACAATAAGCCATGTACTAACAGCTTAAGCTAGACATGATACTGCACAATCATATACACCCTTGCTACAATCTAAGGAACACAAATAAGTTTTGGAGTTCAAAGATACCCCAAGATGTAACCACAAAAACTGTATATACGCTATACATTATAAGTACGCTTCATGAGGAGTGTCAAGATGCACTCATTTTAAGGATTAAAAACTGTTGTACATTTATTTCTGTGTGAAATTTTATGTATGCGAAAAAAAAATAAAATTTAGTAACCGCATGGAAATATAGCTTCAATAAATTCATATGTCGAGGGGTAAATCTTGTATTTAATGTTGATAGTTGTACTTCATGAACATTCAGTCGGTATCTTCATTAAAAAGATTTCATTTCTAACCTGCGAGTGTTAACTTTGCTCACAAATTAGAAAAAGAAATCCTTTGGGAGGGGGGGTCACAGGCTTTATATCTTTAAATACTAATTTTAACATGTTCTTCTGGTTACAGAGCTTATCAAAATAAGGTAATAAAGAAAAGTAAGCAATGGTTCTACAGATATAAAATCTTAACATTTTATATAGTCTCGCAAATCAAAGTCGGTGAGTAAAAATGTTCCGTATGCTTTAATAAATTACATATAGAAAGTTCCATACTTTTAAAGATTTCGCTAAGTTATTTGAAAACGAGTATCCTCATGACTTACATTTACTTTTCCCCATTAATAAGCTATTTTGATCAGATTATAAAAGAAAATACGAAATAAAAGTTGATCGTACAAAATCAGTTTTCTATTGCAAAACGAAAGTTCAGTGACTAACTGTTTTATTCGGCATAGCACATGCAGTTTGTAATTGTCCTTACTAAACTATTCATTGCCATTATCTCGTCCTTTTTTCCACTAATGTATACTAACTTTGCTTGTAAAAGAATGGAATTTTTTGGATTTAACTTTTTAACCGCTTCCCTTACAAATTTTTTTGAAAAAAAATTGCAAAAAATCATCACATTTTTTATTTTATTATTAAATACAACAAAAGGAAACAAATAAAAATATGTAGGTTTTAAGTTGAATTTTTAATTTTTTGAAGGTGTAAAAGCATTTATTTTTAATATTAGATTACTATCCCGAGTTATCTCGGGCAAACAAAAAAAAGTTACAGATTAATCTTTGTATGATAGTTTTTGAAACAAGGGACAGCACAGAGTGGTACCTGACGTTCTACACTTGTATCTGGTCTCTTTTCTTACTGGCTTATCGCTGGAATCTCTTTCACGGGAGCACAGAGTACACTGTCTCGTTGGATTTGATTTTTTTTTAAATTTTTTTTTTTTTTTTTTCCAACCTTTTCATAATCACTATCTGAAAAATCATCGCTTTCGCTATCTTCCATCATCGCCATTATTTTTTTTCCAACGCATGCATCTTTCTTTATACATTACTAATCCACAAGCCAACGTATACTATACAATAAGGAAACACGCGACCAGTCCCTCCAAAAGAACCGCGCAACCAATAAAATTTGGCAAACTGCCAACAAGCAACAAAATGCGCAACATAAAATTCACAAGCTGCCAATCAAAGCTGAATATTTCCTTTCATTTCCTCCAGACCGAGTAAAACCGTGATAAAAGAAATCGTACTAATAAATTCTGCTTCCGAGTTTTCTCGGAATAATAATTAACTGCAATCTATACGAACCCGAGATAACTCGGGATAATCAGGCAAGCGGTTAAATGCGTAGTAAACATTTTACTCATTGTACATTTTGCTACGCAGGGATTCTATAAAATGTTAAATTTTGCATTTATAGAATTGTCATATTCTGATGGCAGAAATATTTTTCTTAAAATTTTCTGCCATAATTTAAGGACGCACCAGCGGTTGAGGGGATAAGATCACTGAATACTGATAATTCGACGTTGTTTCAAATCGTGGGAGATGGGGGTGGCTGCACGAGTGTTTTGGTGCTTTTCTCCATGCATAGCACGGTAGCTTTCCATCACTTATCAAACCGCACGAAACCTTATTTTGGTTTGGTTTATGCGATTGCAGCAAAGCCTCGAAGGCTATCTTCGTAAGGGAAGGTGTGCCTTCATGGAGGACTTTCTAAGGGAAACTATCTCGTAAACACGTTACGCATGACGAAAACGCCCATGCAGGCTGCCCGTGCGCGGTATTCGAACCTCAGACCGAACTACCAGTGTTCAACGACTTTACCTTACGGCCGCTGATGGGCGAAAACCTTTATTTTGAGAAATTTTGTAATTGGAAGTATTACATGTCTAGAAACCACTTTTTTACGAACTGAATAACTTAAGGATTGAAATCAAAATTAATAGTGAATACATTTGAAAATTATTGCTCTTTTGATGTGAAAATCTTCCTCAGTACTTTCAAATTAATAAATTGACTTCTGCAGATAAAATAATATTTCTCAAATATTAAAAAAAGGGGAGGAGAAACAAGTGTAATTTTGTTAGAGAGTTGATGATTCAGATCATATTTGTGTTATCAGGGTTTACGTATTCAGTATAATAGGAAAATAAATAAATGGATTGTGAAGTGACTGTGTAATATTAAATTTGATTAATTGTAATAATTTAGAAAATGTGTTTTACATTTTTTCAGATGAAACAGTGGACATTTTGGAAAATCACAATGAAATACCCGATGCTGTAACCGAAGTTCAACGTACTGCTCCACAACCAATAGAAACTCCCAAAAATCAGCAACAAAGACGCCGACGACGAAAAAAGAAACGCACAGGATCATGTTGTGATAATTTTACAGGTATGTGTAATATATAATCAATAGGGGACTGGTGTTAATTTATGTGCTAAATGATTTAAAATGTATTTGCTAGGAAGTAAACTTTGTAAAACATTTTCACTGTGTAATAGTACGTACTTAGCGTAATTAATTTATTAAGTCTAGTAAAAATAAATCAGCATATTTTATGTGCAGTGCTAGTATATTAGCATGTGGTAGTTGTTATATATTCATAAAAATTAATTTTCATTATCTTTCTGACTGAAAGAAATAAAACTAGTGACGATTTATATAATAGGCATGGCACCCAGACTACAGCTCTTTAGCCTGTTTAATGCAGCTGGCTTTATACACTACCCGACACTAAAAATGGAACACCATGAAGGAGTGGCCCAAAAATTATGCAAGTTTTAGAGATAGACGCACGTCACCGAGTTATGCGAATGATGTGAAATACGTAGCTCCTGCAGAATGTTCAATTTTCGTGCCGTTACTATTTCTGCTGGGAAAATCATCGTAGAAAATTTGTTCTTGACTTTGAGGACACGTGTAATACCCACATAGCACAAAAACATCCTTGGGATATCCCAAAGATGTTGCTCGCGGGATATGCACACATCCTGAGGACATCCCGGAATATCCCGCAAACCTCCTAAACACCTCCACCCGAGTGCTTAATGTCACATCCCGGGATATCCTCAGGACATCCTAACCAAGTCCCATCGACAGCGTGCGGGATTGTTATTAGGATATGAACTCCTACTTACTACATCCTCAGGACATCCCACAAACCTCCTAAGCACATCCCATTATATCCTAAAAACATCCTATCTATGTCCCATCGACAGCCTATGGGATGTTATTAGGATTTAAAGTCCTACTTACTACATCCTCAGGACATCCCGTAATATCCCAATTTCCTCCTAAACTCATCCTCCTGAGCGCTTAATGTCACATCCCAGTATATCCTTAGGACATCCTATTTACGTCCCACCGACAGCGTATGGGATGTTATCAGGATTTGAAACACTAGTTACAATATCCCTTTAACCTCTTAAATACATACTCTCAACTGCTTAGTGTCACATCCCAGTATATATACAGAGGAAAATTCCAGTGAAAGTATGTGAAGGTGCGATGATCTAAAACCTACTTTTTTTTACACAGATAGTCTCAAATCGTTCTCCAATGGTTACTATGGAAAAATCAGAAATGTTGAAAATATTTATACAACTTATTTTGTTTTTAAATCTGAATTTGTGAATATATTAAAACTGAGCAAGGAAATTAAAATGAATTATTAATACAAAATATTAATACTGAAAATTTTGCTTTTATTTTTAAGATATTAAAACTCTTTTGATCATTTTTAAATATCCAATAGCCCCCAAATTGAATTATTCATAATTAAATTATTTTACAAAATCAGTTTCTAATTTCAGTTAATTTGTATTAAAAATTGAATAATAAAATTACCCATTTAATAATCTTTACATAAATGAATCATCTTTTTTTAAAACATGTAAGGAATTTATAGTGTTTTGATGACACTGTTGGGAAATTGTTAAATGGAATAAATTGTATTTTTAAAACTAAATCAATTCCTAGCCTCAGAATAAATAAATATGTTTTCGTAACATGAGAATGCTGCAGGCTTTTTTATATATTTAATATTTAGTTGTAAAAATTTGACTTTATGTTAACAATTCTTTACATCATTCAAAAGGTAACTCAAGAAGCTCTTCTAAAATTCTATCTTTCTGCTCACACAATTAAAAAAATCTGAAAGGCCTCAGATTTTAGCAGTCACTCAAAGAGGCTAAAAGTTTATGAATGCATAGATTATCAATACAGATGGGGCAGTGGAAATAGCAAAACATTTTATAAGATACTGACACCAGAAAGTTATATATCTTCTATATATTTGAAAAATGAAGAAATATATCACGTAATTATGTAGAAATATTAAAATGTTTTCAATTAGATATATCATGAATTAAATGCATTTTAAATCAATCAGATTAAAAATTAAAAAAAGCATTGTTAAGAACTGTGTGTAATGCTTTTAAATAGCTTGACTTGTTAGTCAATAATATATTAGATTTTAAAGGTAAATATGTTAAATTTTGCCAAATGGCAAGACTTGAATGAAAAGCGAAACAAGTTTACGACTGACAATATGAAGTCACATTTCAAAACTAATAGCCCTTTTAGATTAAAAAAAAAAGTTCTGAAAATAATTTGCAATGGTTCATTGGTATTATTTTACGCAAAATTCAGTAAAATGAAATTTACCTGTTGAAATCAGCACCAAATTAAACTTTGTAAATTCTAGCGCATGTTAAAGGTTGTCTCATCCAGAATTTTATTACTAACCATTCATTTCAGAGCAAAATAAAACAGTAATTGCCATTTATATGACAAACAATATCAAAAATTTAAATCTGCATTTTACGCAACATAGAAAAACTTCAAAAGATCTACTGTTTACCATGCAATTAAGGTATTTTATTCTGCTATCAACTCTACCAATTATTAATTCCATTAAGTATATTCAGTTTACTCTTTCTTTCTGCTCAATATATGCAATGTAAAATTTTCCATAAATTTATTAATTCATTTTATTTTGAGGTGAGCTTTTATTCAACTCTCAATGTCAACGAGAATGTTTAGTTCATTTTTTATTCGGTCTCAAAAGAGAAATCAAAATACGTGGATTTATGTACGTATAATACGTATTTATGAATCAAAATACATGAGAAATCACAGTGAGAAAAGCACTGCTACCTTAAACTGTGATTATATATAACAAAATGCAGTGAATTATAGTTAAAAAATAGTGAAAATATTTATATTTCTGAACTATTTCATATATAACATTTTCAGTTTCGCATATGTGGCAATTTAAGAACTTTTTTACGTATACCAATTTTTTTTTTGAAATATCTGCAAAACTTTTTGTATCTTCAAGGAAAGCTTATTCTTTCACCTTTAGTATATAAGTAATGGTAATTTACCAGATAAAATTACTTAATGGGGAATACAGAAAAATATCTAACCACTTACCTTTGTGACTTCATCTGCAAAGAGACTAAAAAAGTAGTTCAGCTAAATCTGCTATAATAAATATTTATAATAATGCTAAATTATGCAATATCTATTAATATGACAAATTTTTGTAAAGCTATTTATTTGGATGAAAAATAAACACATTCAGAAATTTATGGCACTATATTATGATTAACAGAGGAAAAACACTTTTCAAAATTCAAAATAGTTTTTTATTAATCCAATTTATCACATTTTATTTGAATTCATGAAAAACAATCTTATATCCATGTATTCTTATGTATATAAGAACTCTTGATAAATTGGATCTCTGTCATTGCCTTTCACAGCACCTAAAATAAAAAAAAACACTCACAATTACTATATGTGAATATAATTCATAATTAAATTTAAACAAATGACTATTAGAATGCAAATTAAAGGAAGCATTTAAAATATTTTAACATTTAGTACCTATAAACAGAGTAGCAATTATTTGATTTTTCGATTATAGTAAAATAAACATGGGGGATGCCTTTTAAAAATTTTTTATGTCAGAAAATAAACTCAAACCACCAGCTGAACATATGAGCAGTTTTATCAATCAGCCACTGGTAGGTTAACCTGGATACTGAATCAACATATAAAGTTGCCAAGATAAAGAGAGAAACAAAATTATGATAATCACATCTTACCTATTCATAAAACTATTTTAAATTTAATGTGTAGGCAAGTCCAAAAAGAGTGAGAATGAATTTATTTTGCAACACAAAGTAAAGTCTTGCAGGAGCAAAAAAAACTTGTCTCATGAGATTGGCAAGTAAAAAATAATTAACTGCATCTGGTAACATTTATCTGACAACTCATAAGTAATTGTTAGCTACGTGCAGAAAATAAAATCTGATCAGGGGCATAGCTAGAGGGGGGCATCTGTCCCCGGGTGCAGAATCCAAACGGCACCAAACTGATGTTAGAACATTTTAGAATTAAATGTTTTCCATCCTTGGCAAGCAGTAGGGGGTGCGAAATCTTCAGTTGTCCCTGAGCGCTGAAAACCCTAGCTATGACTCTGAATCTGATCATGTTAATGCAATTTTAAACTTTTGAATTTAATCGCAGAAATTTACCAAAGAAGTACTTGTAACAGTAGTAAATGAAGATGTGGCTAATCTTTACTGTATGGTACACCTTGGTTTCTGTCTGAAAAAAAATCGCAAAGTGGTATTGGTTGTTTGTGAAATGTGGAAGCCCATTGCGTCAAATAAGTTTTTCGGTAACCCTAAATGTTGATAATGTTGGCGAAAGTAGCCTTTGGGACAATAAAAGGGAGTTATTTCTGCAAATATTGCCAACGTGCTGTGATAAATTTAGTTTTGGGCTACTTTTTTTAATAGTAAACCTTTTGTACGGTCCCAGGTTTTTGGTTCTTACCATTCTTTACAATTGCTGTGTTTGGTTGCACGGAAGTGGTATGGTCTTGTATTTTGAACATCCTATTTATTATTTTGGTGTGGGTATCATCGTTTGAGTATGTCTAAGGTGACTAAGAGATGAAAAATTTAATTGAATTGCTTACCTGGAGGATGGTGGTGGGAAGCCTAACAGCATGTGACGTATGCAATTTGAGAAAAAAAAATACCGTATTTATGCGAATCTAATGCGCCATCGAATCTAATGCGCATCCCCATTTTAAAACTTTAAATAATAAAAAAATTGTTTGTCGGCGAATGTAATGCGCATCAATGATATGAGGAATTTATTGAATCTTATTTTATACAACAATGGATTTGTATATAAACTATCAATTAATGGTATGATAATTTTATTTAAATTTAGATACCATATTTTATACAACAATGGATTTATACATAAAGTAGCAGAACATAGAATTAACCTATTAGTGGGCTATTGTCATGTGAAACAATCATTGTTAATTAGCACTACCGTATATACGGTACCTATCGTAAAATATG